TTTTTTTTTTTTTACAACCAACCACTGACAACTAATGCTGGGGGGTTATTTTTACAGCCAGTTACTGACCACCAGTGAAGGGGGAGCCATTTGACACCCAGCTACTGACCACCAATGATTGGGGGGGGGTCATTTCAATATGTGTTTATTGTCTGGTTGCTAAGTAGTCACTAACTATTTTATGTGGTTCTCCTGGCAGAAGAAACACATGTAATAGAAGAGTTTCCTTTTTTTTAAATAAATTATTGTGCTGAGTGTTTTTAAAATTAGATGCCCCTTTAGATCCCCCCAACCACTGTTCAAATGATTCACACTTATCTTCATGGTGTTCTTTCCAAGTTACAGTTCTCCAAAAATCTTGATGCCAGCATAGCAGTACCATAAGCTTGCTGCTTCCAGTCCCTACACATTCTGCCTGCTTTAAATGCAATTATTCACTCCATTAGAAGTCTATGTGCCGCCATTGTGGTAAATGATCTTATTCTAACAATGCGAGGGACTGGAAACTAAACGTACAGCGACTGGTAGCAGTCAGCTGGTAATACCACTGTGATGGCATAAGACTTTTCATTGACACTAGTGATGTTGTTTCTTTCTGTTATAATACACTGTTCATATAGAGCAGCCATGTGAACTCACTCTAAAATCCAGGAAGCCCCCCACCTGCTTACTACCCCTGTGAGCCTGCATGACGTACAAATCTCCCTTCATTCTTCTCATTCACTGGAAACCTGAGCATATATTGTGTAAGACAATCCTCATATGTGTAAAATAGAGATGTTTATATTGCTGATAATGTTTTTAGAATGTTGCCAGTATTTATATATGGATACTGCACAGTGCATTGTATTTTGTTATACGTACTAGATATAATCTGTCTTGTCTTCTTTATCTGTAAATGATACAACACATGTAGGGGCCACTTTCTAAAGCTAAAATCCAGGAAAAAGAAAATATTGTCTAAATACAAGAGTCATGTGTATTCTTGTAGTGCTTTGTGTACTTCTTCCACATCTCTACAGTACTCCTAGTGTGAAACTTAGGGATCTATTCACGAAGCTGCCGAAGGATCTGGCCGTAGCTTCGGCCGATCCTTCGGCTAGCTTCGGCCCCAGGACCCCTTCGGTTCAGTAGAACCGAAGGGGTGCTGTATGGGCTATTCACAATAGCCCGTACAGCTCCCGATCATGGCCGAGCGGCTCAGCCGAGCCGAACGCATATGCATCGGCTCGGCTGAGCCGTGCTGAAAGCCAAAGCTGGCCGAGCGGCCATTGGCCGGCCGACAGCCTGCTTCTGACAGCTGGGCGGAGCCAGCCGTGATCTTACGGCTGGACGATGTACGGCTGATTTCAGCCGATGTACGGCTGAAATTTGCCGTACCAGCCTGAAGTGAATAGCCGAACAGTGTTCGGCTCACTTCACTTCAGATCGGTCATTCACTCGGCTGCCCTCGGCAGCTTCGTGAATAGACCCCTTAGTTTCTGACCTCTAATAAAGACCGGTCACTGTTGTTCTCTCTCTTTGTGCAGGATGACTGGTGTTGTATCCACCCCCTCCTGTCATTTTCTGCAGGCAGCCCTGCTGGGTCCCTGCTCTCTGCTCAGGAGTGCTAATGCCACAGCTACTTTTACAAGGTAATGTCTGGGTTTGCAAAGGCGCACGTAGTGGATTAACATCCTTTGTAGCTATTGAGGAATATGTTTTAAAATACGTTTTTGTTCAGCTTTAATTGTGTTCCATTCCCCCCACCCAAAAAAAAGAAATCACTTGTTGGGGAAAAATGTTTAATAATATACATACCTTTCCCACTACTTCTACCTGCCACACCTAGGCAAGGATAATGTCATCCTCCATCTGGCATGATCTGGGAAATGTAGAGTAGCCCAATTCTCACTGAGAAGACGCTCCCCCAGCACTGCCACTTCAACGTCTTCTCCCCAGATTTGGAGTGCTCACTATTCCCCAATCATTATCTTGTTAGCAGGAGGTTGACGTTACTTGCTCCCCCCCC